ATGGAATTCCCACACCCGATGTAACCGTGGTGAAGTAATGGCTTGCGATTTTTCAAGTTTTTCATAACATTTCATGAAGTTAAAAAGTTGCATAGAATACAATATACATGTCATTGGCCTCCGGCCTCATCTCATACATATCAAATACATTGAAAGGAGTGTACTTAAGTACACATTTCATACATGGAATCAAACATACATATTTTGACATATAAGTCTACAAAATGACATTTCATGCTAACATTTGCATGAAATGGAAACTTGAAAGCTACTCGACATCCAAGGAATGCTAGGCTTCACGAACCAAGTCTTCGTACCTGAAATATGCCCCTGTATCATAGGGGTGAGTAACATAAAGCTACTCGTAGGAGATGAGCATGCATTGACCTAACATTTTACAAATTTATCACCTTAAGGTGAAACATGTTAAAGGGGCTCATGCCACCTAACGTCTATGTCCAAGTGAGACTCGGGGAGCATCCTAAGCTACCTTAGAGTCTAAGCAACAAGAATCATGATATACATACGTGTTTGAAACGAATCATGGTTGGGATAATCTAATGAACACGACAAGAAGAATGCTTGAGCATATATTAACATGAATTGCATTTTCAATACAATTGAACTAGGTCTAGAGTAATCCATACAACATGATAAAAGCATATTTGAATACAATTTAACAAGAATCACATTATCCATGCAATTCGACAACAAAAGAGCATGTTATACAATGCAACAAGGTTTAAGTTTTCAAAGCCATCAACTTAGAATCTAAAGCACAAAATAACAATAGTGGTTCATGCCACCTAACGTCTATGTTATAAATGAATCAATAGGATCAATCCTAAGCTTTATTAGAACATCAAAACACGATTTTCAATATCGATGCAATTTAACCAACATTGGAACTTCCAATGCAATGCATAAAGCATAATTTCGCAAAGTTAACATCCTGTAACTTAAAATGGAACGACAAATAAGAAACAGCAAGTTACAACATCATCTAGTTATCAATTTGAAATTGAAATGCGAAATCAAACAAAGTGGATACTCGGACGTCACGCCGAATCAGACCGACAACATAGTTACTTTAGGGTTACTAGCCCACGGGTAACCTCCCTATGTGCGCACTAGACTATATATAGAGGGACTATCCCCCGTACAAGAACCACGTCCTAGCTATAGTCAAACAACGACATCCCCAAGTTTCCAAAATCAACAAGTTGTGCAACAACGCATATATCAACATGAATATGCAAGATAATCAACTATCTACTAAGCACAACCAAATTTGGAAACCTATACAATACATGCTCTAAATCCACAACTAATATGATATGATGAATGTCGAATCTTCAGTGTGCGATTCGTTACACGCTATGCATGAAAGATGTTAAACACGAAGTGTGCAAATCATTACACAAGGCAACAATATATTCAATAAGGAAAACATATTCTCATGAATACAAACATAACAACTATGTTATCCAATGTTCAAAACATAACCAAATGAATATACAACAAGTCCAAGTCCATGATTTTAATATAGAAACCACTTCTAAAACACAACTAGATCATGGAGCAAATTGATAGAATTTAAATAGATAAACACAATTAAATTCTCTAGATTCCGATCCAATTTCAAATAACGTCAATTTAATACATGCTAAAGGACATGGCATGGTCATCACCTATATCCATTCTAAAACTCAATTAGGTTGTTGGAACAACAAAGGAGAACTTTAATTAAATCATGCTAATTTAATTATCAAGGTTCTAAAACAACTTCTAATAGTCCCAAATTAATATATACTAGTAAACAAGTCATGGCCAATACAAATATCAAGTTAAAACCTTAATTAAGCTAATGGGACCACCAAATAGATTTTAATTAATTCTTTTAATTAAAATCTCTAGATTTTTCAAACTTAACCAAATGCTCTCAATTTAACATATCTTAGAGAACATGTCAAGGACTAATGTAATATCACATTACAAGCTTATTTCATTCAATTTAAAACCATGTGAATTAAACTTTCACTAAAGTTAAATATAAAACAAAAGTTGCAATTCTCATCCAATAAATCCCAATTTAATACATGTTAACAACTATACCAAAACTTAATTGTCTAGTATGCCACAATACAATTCCAAGTTGTATATCACCATGAGAATTAAATCTTAAACATGAAATTTAATTAAATAAAAGGTTTCAAAATCTAACCGAATATTCTAAATCAAATATATGTGAAGTCGGAATTCGAATGGAGTGAATAGTGCACTCGGGGCAAATTAATTAATCAAATTAATTAATAATTACTAATTTTCAAAACACCTCCAATTACTTTCAAATTCAACTATGTTGAAGAGCATGCTAAGGCCTAATATAATATGCTAACACATATTAATTTCAAGCTAGTTAAGGCCATGTGAATTAATCTTTCACCTAAGATAAATATTAAATAAAATCTTTAATACTTATTCAAATGTTCTAATTTTAATACACGACAATGAGCATATAAAGGGGCAATATAAAATCATGCTACATGTTTAAACCAAGTCATGAGCAACCGGGAAAATTAGATCCCGTACAAGAAAAATAAATAATAAAATCTCTAGATTTTATATTTAATCATGCAAACAAGTTGTATAAGCATCACAAGCATGCTATATAACAAGAATTTAAACCTAAAACATCTCCTACCTCAATTTGAGATGAAAATCTCAAATGCCATCAAAATGGAACGGTTTCGAATCCGACGAAACTACTAGGTTTTGTCGGGGACAACGCCGTGAACATAACCCCCATGAAAGCCCCATCAAAATCATAACTTGACCTCGAAACCAAACTCCAGAAATGGTCAAAACTGAATTCTAATAATGGGGAAAGGAAGAGCACGGCGAGGAGAACAACAAACGTTAAGGCCGAAGACTTTCTATCAAGGAAAAGTGAACCGAAAGAGGAGAGAGAAGATGGCAGCACCCCTTGGGCTGCCATGGGAGCTCCAGGTCGTGTATAAAGAGGGAGAAGATTAAAAATGAAATATCTCACCCCTCCTTTTATAGAAATCTCAAAAAGTGCCCCGAACGGGCCCCGTCGGGTCCGAAAAAGTAAAATTTGAGCAGACGCGCTCAAATTGCAAAACTTTGTGAATGAAAAAGATTCAAAATGATAAAATATGAACAACGGAAGAAGCGGCGTCAAAAATCGAGTCCTGAGCAGAAAGTTATGCCCAAAACAAGTTTGGCGAAAACTAGGGCCAGAAATCCTGAAACTGGAAAACATCGACCATGAGGAAATTCCTAGAGTACACAACTCAATGAAATGTGAAAATGAATCCCGTACGAGGATCCTGGCTCAAAACAAGACATTTTGCAATAACTTTCATTAATTGCACAATGGACCCTCCAAAAAGTGAAAACTCCACTTATGGCCTAGAATGAAAATATCTTCCAAAAATATTTTCTTAAAAACCCCTAAAATAAAATATCTTCAAAAGATATTTACGAAAAACACCCTAAGAAAAGAAAATAATTTCAAAGAACTTTGCATCCATGCCCCTATGGACACCGGGAGCAACTAGAGTACTTTTTTGCAAAAGTAAAGATACGTATTTCGTAGAAACCACTTAAGATGAAGGCACGTGAAGTCAAAAACCAACTCCGAGCATGAGAAGTGAGGTTGTGCCAAAAACTGACAAACGGAGATAAGACAGAATAGGGAAAAGGACGAAATAGCGCATTGTGTCGAAAAACGAAATATGTGAAAATGACTCAGTCCTCAAAGGAAGTTGTCAATTCACATGAAAGAGTCTCAGAAACCAATTCTAAGCACTCGAGATGACACTAAGCGACACGAAACAGAGCTCAGAAAAAAAAATTAAACGAAAAAAATTCATTCGTAAAATTTCAAGAAAAAGGAAAGGGAGGCAAATGACCGGGTCGTTACAACCTACCCTCCTTAAAGGAATTTCGTCCTTGAAATTAGGAACGTACCAGAGAGAACAGAATAATGACCGAATAAAAGGTCAAATCAAAGGATAGCTCACAACGCATTGAAGGACAAATCCCGAAGTCTACAGATCAATTGAAGGACGTGAAACCAAGAACTGAGGCAACACCTCATACAAATCGGCACATTAACTCAACATCAACTATCGAGAGAATCCCAAGACAACGAAACGTTGAAACATGATAGAAGAAGAAAGTGACAAGGCAGTACGAATAGTGACCAGAACCCGCCCACACTTACTCGTCAGCAAGGTAGCATAACAGTATAAGGCACTAGTTCGTAACATGCCCCAGAAGGGAACTTTTTGATACCAATGACATTAATGTCGAAAATGATCATTACCAAAGGCACTACGGAAACCAGGCATCTGCGAGAGTTGGGGTAGCTAATCCCAAAACTCTGACAACAATGACACTAGCACCATTACGCTTAAGGCCTTAGATATAGAAGGCACGAAGAAAAAAGAAATGAAACGGTGTCTCCCTGGCCCACGTCTCAATCCACCAGACAAGGAAAAAAAGTGAATCGCAGTCCTCTATGCTCGCATAAGCCTTACTCGCATCAATCGACAGAACAGACAAGAAGGTTCCCGACATAGGTCCTTACCATAGTTGTTAAAGGCTCAAGGTGCACAAAAGTGCAAATGCCTCCTGGAGCCTGAGGCGCAAGCGCAAGGCGAGGCGTACGCCCGACTGAAGCAAGGCACACGTTGGAAAAAAAAAAAAAAACAAAACCCACCCAATAAAGTATTAAAGATGCAAATCATGCAATAGTATATAGAAAGATGTAAAAGTCAACTAAATGAATTACTTAAGTTAAATATTCAACATAAAGATGCCAAAACCAAGTAAATCAAGTACTTAAGTTCAAAACAGTGAATAATCAAACATATTAACATAAAGATGCAAAAGTCAACTAAGGAGAAGTATAAGATAAAACTAAAACAAACATAAACATCATCCTTCCTAAGAAGACAACACCAATGAATCTAAATATCATCCTCGTCATCAATAAGCATAACATCATTTTGATCGTCACTATATGATTCATGATTCTCAGGATCCTCTTCTATCTCATCTGAATCATCCTCATCCTCATCCACAAGTCGAACTGAAGAACTTCCTGCTCCCTTTGTTGGTAACCGTGAACTAGAACTAGATTTTGATCTAGTAGACCGTTGCGGCCTGCTTGTCTCTCCAATACCATCAAAATTAGCAACATCACCCCATGTCAAGGAATCATCTTCATAGACTAGATCATGTTCTGCATCAGAATCATCCATCCTCCCCGTCAACCACTCGTTGCTCTCATCAATGTCATCGAGTAAAATGGGATCAAGAGTGTTACGCATATTATATCGACGCCTCAATGCTCTATTATATTTGATGAACACTAAATCATTCAACGTTGTTTGAGCAAGCCTATTTCTTTTCTTGTTATGAAGCTGTAATAAATTCAACTTTAACTAGTAAGTATAAAAAATTAAAATTTTAATTTTCAACAATTAAATTACAAACCTAGTTAGTAAATAGTATATACTTACATGCTCAAACACGCTCTAATTTCGTTCACAACCAGAAGAACTGCAAGTAAGGCTTAAAACCTTTATAGCAAACTTTTGGAGAAGTTTTGTTGACTTGCCATAAGCTTCCCACCAATTAGCTATTAAAAAAAAATTAATAATGATGTTTAGCAACTTTAGCTTCATCTTTCTATCGACTCTATTGTCAAAATAATTTTAACACTTAGCTATACTAACTTAATATACTTTACCACTTTACCTCGTCCTCGTGTACTTCTCTGTCTAATAGCAAAGGGATTACCAAAGAGGCCCTCAGCTTTAGAATATAAGGACAGCTCCTCAGTAATTTTGTCTTGGTCTTTGACATCCGGGACTAACCTTGCAATGCATGCATACAAACCCTTTGCAATCTCTTCATCTTCTTCAATTTTTGAATTTGAATAAAATTATTCTGGGTTCAAATAATAACCTACTGCATGCAAAGGGCGATGAAGTTGAACATTCCACCTCTTATCAATTATTTCAAAAATATCTGAGTATTTATCTTCTACTCCCCCAAATGATTTTGCAATGGCTTTTTTAGCCCTATCCATAGCCGCATAAATGTATCCCATGGGAGGCTTTCTCTCGCCATCGACTAATCTCAAAACCGGAATAAGAGGACCGGAAACCTTAAGGCTAAAGACAATGTTGTTCCAAAAGGAAGGCATCAAAACATAAGAAGCAACTCTTTTACCGGCTTCCTCTTTCGCCCATTTACTACGATTCCATTCTTCTGAAGTAAACATCTTTCTCAAGTTATTCTTTTGCTTGTGAATACTTGATAATGTGATGAAACATGTAGCAAATCGAGTCTTAGCAGGCTTAAGCAACTCTTTTTTGTGAGTAAAGTTCCTCATAATGTTCAACAACTTTGGTCGCATATAAATATAACTATTCAACTCCACTGCCCTCTGCATTGTTCTAGAGATGGACGGTATTTTCCCAATGTCTTCCAACATCAAGTCTAAGCAATGAGCAGCACATGGGGTCCAATACAAATGTGGGTGTTCTTTCTCTAACATCCTCCCTATTTGAAACCAAACGGAAAAAAGAAAAAATGATATAAAGAGAATGAGTAAATCAAAATTGATTTAAATTATATATTTGTAGAGAATGTAAACTCTAAAAGTTATAAACTTTGAACATTCTTACCGGCATACTTATTGCTTGACTCACTATCTGTGACGACTTGGACGACATTTGCTACTCCAATGCGGTTGACAAATTTATTAAGTAAGTCAAACATCTTGTCACCATCCTTTGAAAAAGAAGAAGAATCTATCGACTCAATAAACATGGTTCCCCTTGGACTATTTACTAGGAAATTAAGCAATGTTCTCCCTCTCTTGTCTGTCCACCCATCTGCCATTAATGAGCATCCAAATTTTGACCACTCCTCCCTGTGGTCATTCATCAAAGCATTGGTATTATCCAATTCCTTCCTAAGCAAAGGAACTCTCACCTCATGATAACTAGGTGGTTTCATGCCAGGACCACATTGTCCAATTGCTTCAACAACCTCGGCAAAGCTATCATACTTAACAGCATTGAATGCAATTCCTACATCATACATCCACCTTGCAAAAGTAGCACACGCTCTTCCTCTCAACTCTTTCTTGCATGCATCATTAATGGCTGTTTGTTTTCCCCCCTCCTTTCTTTTTTGTACCACAATTTCTGGTCTGGGAGTGAAATATAAATCAATTGGTTCCTTTTGCTTTTGCATCTTTGAGGAATTGACACTAGCACTGCCTGCACTGGCTACCCTTTTTCCTCGATTGTTAACTTCCATAATGTCATCTTCATCCTCTCCATCAATGAAATTAATTTCATCACTAGGTAACAAATTCATTTGATCTTTTTCTTCCTTTTTCTTACTCATGTACTCTTTGATTTCTTCTCTAACACTAGATGGGCATCTTGGGCATGCACTCACATTTCTATACCCTCCAGCTAAGTTTTGTTTAGCTCGATAAATACCTCATTTTGTAACTTTTGCACAAAAGTTACAAGTGACGGCATTTGTATCTTTCGGATTCTCCAAATGTGAGTAATTCCATGCCGGATCCTTTCTTGAACCATCACTAGGCATCTTTTAAAGTACAAACTACAATCAAATTCAAGATAACAAAATAATAGCATCATGTAATCAGTGTCTGCAACAACTCTGGCAAATAAATAAATAAATACAGAGCTTCAAAGCAATTAGCAATATTAACATTTCAATTTAAAAAAATAAATACAAAGCTTTGGCAGAATGCAAAAAACAAAATATTATTCTTTAAGGTCTCATACTCTCATTAGAATTTGGTCACTAGCTCAAATTGGATGCATGCTATGATTTTATTATTATTATTAAATGGTAAACTTTGAATGTGCAAATCCGGATATTGAATAATTTATTAACTTTTCATTTGTTTTATTTTAATTTATTATTATTATTATTATGTTCTACATAGACACTGACTAGGAAAATTCATTATGTCACATTGAGTCGATTCTTATAATGCCTAATATCTGAAGTAATATTTTCCAGTTCTTCGATCTAATATAGGGGAGACTTTGTGACTCTACTCTTAACACTCTTGGCCGCTGGATGCCCTTGTTTAATGCAGGACTAAAGGAAAGATTTGACTATGTTTTGCTTTTGTCGCATTTCAAGAAATTTGGTTTGATATGGATTAGAGAATATGCACATAGTTGCTATGTTTGTTACAACATTTTGACATATCAGTTAAACTGCAGTTCATTATTCATTCTCCCGATACTATACATTTTTGTTGTTTACTTGATCGCCTAAAGAAAGGATACGGTTTACCAATGGTTTAGTATTGAAATATTTTTAGTGAGCTGCGTGCCTCTGTGCACGCCTAAAAACTTATGCTTCGAGTGGGAGATCATGCTGAAACAAAGAGGGTCATGCCCGGTATGGTCCCGTTAACAAAGGATGCTAATAGACCACTCGATGCAGACCTAAACTTTGATCGGATATTGAATGTGCAATGCATTTCCTCAAACCAACAACATGTTAGAATGGAACAAATACAACTGTTCACACAAATAAATCAGGTTAATATAAAGTACCTCACACAAATAAATAAATAAATAATAAAAAAATGAAAAAAAAATAAAAAAAACTGGAATAAGAAAAAAAATAATAATAATAAAAAGAAGAAAAAAAAAATCTGCCAGGAGAGAGCCGAGACTGAAGAGAAGAGAAAAAAAAAAAAAAAATCTGCCAGGACTCAGGACTCAGGAGAGAGCCGAGACTGAAAAAAAAAAAAAAAAAAAATATTACTGGAGAAACAAAAAATAAATAAAAAAAATAAAAAGAAGAAAAAAAAAAAAAACAAATCTGCCAGGAGAGAGCCGAGACTCAAGAAAAGAAGAAGAAAAAAAGAAAAAAAGAAAAAGAAGAATAAAACTGGAGGCAAAAAAAAAATAAAAAAAATAAAAAGAAGAAGAAAAATAGAAATAAATGACATAAATGTCTAGCAAGAAAGAGCCGAGAAGCCCCAGGGCCCAGACTCGAGAGAAGAAAAGAAGAAGAAGAAAAGAAGAAAAAAAAAAAAATCTGAGAGAAGGAGAGAAGAAGAAGAGAACGAGAGAAGAAGGAGAGAAGAAGAAGAACTAACCTAGAGAGAGCCGACGCAGATCCAAGATTCCCGAGTGAGTACTTCGCTGCCTATGTCAGTCTGTGTTCTTCTTTCCTTTGCTTCTCTTTTTTTTTTTCGTTTTTTATGTTGCAAACTTGCAATAGGCTTTGGCTTTGAGCTTTCAACTTTTCAAGTTTAAAATAATACAATACAAAATACAAATAATATAACAATACAGAGTTACAGACTACAGAGTCACAAACAAAACAAAAAAAAATAAGGAAAATAAGTTAAAAACAAAAGTTTCATGCGGGGCGAGCCTTTCTAGCCCCTGTAGCCTCGGGCCTTGATCGTAAAGGCGCATGCCTTATATAACCCAACCGCCTTGAGTAGACTCAAGGCGCTAACCTGGCGCCTGGAGGCGCCTTGCGCCTCAGGCGCGCGCCTCCGGTGCCTTTGACAACTATGGTCCTTACAGAATGAATTTCTCCTATCTAAGGAAGAAACTCGTGAAACAAGAATGCATCCAAGGGATAAGACAGATCCTAAGAGACAATGCCAAAAACAGACATAAAAGGGGACAGCTAGCATGCATCATAGCAATGGATTATCTACTCAAGATGCCACATAAGCAAACAGACATGTTATCAAATCAAAACATGTTATTAAGAACATATATACACATAAAGTATGCTTAACAAATAATAGATGTCTCAAAGCACCTAAGCATGTGAACATGTTATCATACAAGACATGTTATCAAAGAAGGCATGCTATCAAGATATAAATGACACATCAAAGCAAAACAACGTGAGCATGATATGCACCCAAAACCTGTCGTCCAAGGTATTCGAACCCGGACGCTCTGATACCACCTGTGACGACCCTGGTTTTTAGGCCAGCGTGTCCTATGATGAACCGTAAAGATGATCCGATAACGGATCCGAATGCGAAAGCGAAAACAGAAAACAAGACTCTAAGAAGTCAAAGTGACCTTCCATGAGGTCGTGGAACTCAACAAGAATTGATGCGGAAGCAAAAGATCGAAAATATGACAAATAAGCCCCCAGGGGCAAAATAGTCATTTCTGAAAACTATAGATTCGGGTGCCACCGAGCACACCGCTGGAAGGAAAACGAAAAACTAATCAAGATGGACTCAAGAATCGCATGATTCGGAGTCCGAACGAAGGAGAAACGACATGACGAAGAAAAACGAGCACTTAAAGCAAAAAGGGTAAACTGGTAATTATTCAGGAAGATCTGGGTGCAACCGAGCACACCGTTGGAAAGACAGCGAAAAATTAGTCAAGTTTAAAAAAAAATTGACTTGAATCGGAGTCCGAACAAAGGAGAAACGCCCAAAAGAAGAAATGACGTCGCGGGGGCCCGACGAGGGGCCATGGCGCACACGGCGCCCATGCGCGAGCCCACCGGCGTGCATGCCGGCGCCCAAAGACATGGCTTGTGGCAGCCCTTGGCTGCTGCCACATTTTTTTTTGATCTGCCCAGAACTGAGGCTTGAAACGGAGGTCAAGAAGAGTTTTTCCGGAAAAACACGAAGAAGAAACCCCCCCCCCCCCCCCTAAAATCGAGTTTTCTACCTAACCACGCGGACAGAATCGAAAAAACTCACTGTGAAATCCCGAAAATGCCCTTAGATCAGAACTGAACAAGAGGGTCAAAAAGCTGCTAAATGAAAACTGGAAGCTGAAACTTTACGAGGGATTTCCGGTACCAAGACGACATTTTCTGGAAAAATATGAAAAAGAAACCCCCCCTAAACTCACGTTTTCTAAGCGACCATGTTGAAAGAAGAAAATAAAACTGATGTGAAAGGTCCATAATGCCCCTAGATCAGAATATGCAAAAAAAAATGCGAAATGAATTCACAAAAGGCTCAAAACACAAACGATGAGGTTTTGCCCGGAAACGACTATGCACGCAAACGTAACTTACCTATTTAGATGCGCTACAATGGTTCATGGCTTAAAAATATAGCCGATGCAAAATCCGACCCCCCAACGGGCAAAAAGGCAAAAATGGACTTGGAATGGAAAACATGGAATCCAAAAATGCAAAATGGGATCAAATGACCGTTTGGCCCATGGCTACACTTCATACAAGATTAATAAGACCCTATAAAAGAATGAAAATGGAATTCCCACACCCGATGAAACCATGGTGAAGTAATGGCTTGCGATTTTTCAAGTTTTTCATAACATTTCATGAAGTTAAAAAGTTGCATAGAATATAATATACATGTCATTGGCCTCCGGCCTCATCTCATACATATCAAATACATTGAAAGGAGTATACTTAAGTACACATTACATACATGGAATCAAACATACATATTTTGACATATAAGTCTACAAAATGACATTTCATGCTAACATTTGCATGAAATGGAAACATGAAAGCTACTCGACATCCAAGGAATGCTAGGCTTCACGAACCAAGTCTTTGTACCTGAAATATGCCCCAGTACCATAGGGGTGAGTAACATAAAGCTACTCGTAGGAGATGAGCATGTATCGACCTAGCATTTTACAAATTTATCACCTTAAGGTGAAACATGTTAAAGGGGCTCATGCCACCTAACGTCTATGTCCAAGTGAGACTCGGGGAGCATCCTAAGCTACCTTAGAGTCTAAGCAACAAGAATCATGATATACATACGCGTATGAAACGAATCATGGTTGGGATAATCTAAAGAACACGATAAGAAGAATGCTTGAGCATATATTAACATGAATTGCATTTTCAATACAATTGAACTAGGTCTAGAGTAATCCATACAACATGACAAAAGCAAATTTGAATACAAGTTAACAAGAATCACATTATCCATGCAATTCGACAACAAAAGAGCATGTTATACAATGCAACAAGGTTTAAGTTCTCAAAGCCATCAACTTAGAATCTAAAGCACAAAATAACAGTAGTGGTTCATGCCACCTAACGTCTATGTTATAAATGAATCAATAGGATCAATCCTAAGCTTTATTAGAACATCAAAACACGATTTTCAATATCGATACGATTTAACCAACATTGGAACTTCCAATACAACGCATAAAGCACAATTTCGCAAAGTTAACATCCTGTAACTTAAAATGGAACGACAAATAAGAAACAGCAAGTTACAACATCATCTAGTTATCAACTTGAAATTGAAATGCGAAATCAAACAAAGTGGATACTCGGAGGTCATGCCGGATCGGACCGACAACATAGTTACTTTAGGGTTACTAGCCCATGAGTAAACTCCCTATGTGCGCACT